GAAGTTCCTCCAACATTAACAGTTACATCGCTGGGAATTTCCTGGGAAAATATCCTGTTTAATAAAAGTGCCATTAAAAAATAAAAAACTTAATTAAAATGATTAAAGTGTTTATTTAATAATTAAATTAAATTAAAAAAAGGAACAGAAACAAAAGAAAAATGTACCATTCACTGGTGCGCTTCATCACAGTAGAAAGAAGCTCCTTTTTCTTGTTAGACATGTTTGGAGTTTGTTCTTGCTCAAGTTCCATCCTGCAATATATATTATTATAATTATATAGTATAATATTATTATATATATATAAAATTATTATTATTTAAAGGGCCCTGACTTCATTTATTGCACCCTAATAAAATTGGAATTTAGGAAGGGAAAAATTGAAGAAAAAATTAAAAATTCTGATAGGCCAGATAATGCAATTAGTGTTCAATTTCTATAATAGTTTTTTTTATTTATTTTTTTTTATTTGATTGTATTATTGCGTGTATTCTTGGCCATTAGCCTAGAAAATCCATTATCATGATCGCCTGGACCTAATTTACGTTTATGGGTCTGTGTTTGTAAGGGTCTTGATGATGTTGTAGGTGTGATTCGAGGGTAAATTCGGGAATATAATGTGGGAGAATGGATTTGGTTTGGAGTGTGTGGTAGGCGACATAAGATGAAGATGGTGGTGCCCAATTTCTCCATGTGAGAGAGATGACAATATCCACAAAAAAAATGTCAATATGTGTCCTTTATTTCTTCTTCTTTTTTTTTTTTTCTTTTCTTTTGGGGTTTTATTTTCAGCAAGATCAACTTTTCAATACAAATACCATTTTGGAACTTCACAAACAAAACAATACGGTTTTGCTATGAAACCAATTATTGGCTCCGTAGTAGAGTCAACCTTCTATATACAACAAATAAACCTACCATATTAATAAAATTATATTCGTGTTATATAAGTAATCAGAGAATATGGTAGGTTTACTTGTTGTATATAGAAGGTTGACTCCACTACGGAGCCAACGATTGACTTCATAGCAAAACCGCAAAACAATATACCTTATTCTTCCAACATAAATTTTGGTATGGTGTAGTCAAAGTAGCATGGTCGATCAATTATACTTTTAGAGAAATGTTCACCTATTCACGGTGGACACATATTAATATGCTCACCGCGTAGGTGGCATGCACTCATTAGTGATGTATTTTTTTTAACATATTAACATCACCAATGAGTGCATGTCACCTACGCGGTGGACATATTAACATGTGTCCACCATGGGTAGGTGAGCATTTCTCTATACTTTTAACCACAAAATCATACTTATTGATACAGCACATAAGAATAGCTACCAAAAATCATACTTATTGATATAGCACATAAGAATAGCTAGGTAAAACCGGGCATTATTAGCTCGGTCTAAGAACCGGAGTTTGTTGGGATGAGGGGTTTACGATCGGCTTGTGTTAATAGCTCGGACCTCTGAGTACCTAGGTTAGGCCTGAGAATGTGGGGAGCTCGGCACATTAGTATATCGGCCCAGTAAGAGAATTAATAGCTTGGCCTTGTAAGAGCATTAGTAGCTTGTCATAGGAATAGCTCGGACCTCTAAATAGTTAAGGAAACAAGGAAATCAAACAATTTCATATCCATATCCTAAATAAATTCAGCCCAGCCCCTGCCATTAATTTCTCGGCACACCATAAGGAAACAAGAAAACAAATTCCAACCCTTTTGTGTGATTTGTTTTGGAATTTATTTGTGTCAGACACATCTGCCATGAATTAACGAGGCTTGTGTGATTTGGAATCTATTTTGTGCCAACACATGAAGGCGTTGAACAAGTTTTTTCGGATTAGGTAAATATTGAAAATTTAATTTTCAATAAAGGGTGGAAAAATAATTTCATTAAATGATAAAATTTCCAAATCTAAACCAAACAAGTTAATGTGCTAAATTATTTGAATGATTATATTATGAAAAATAACCCTAAACCAAACAAGTTTAATTTGAAAAATAACCCTAAACCAAACAAGTTAATCTAAACCAAACAAGTTAGGGTGGAAAAATAACCCTTGATTTTATTATAAATGATTATCATGCTCAATCCATTATTGCAACTAATCTCACCCTAAACATACTTCATACAGTTATACAGAACTTTCAATAACTCTTTACTTACATGATCATCAGAGGTTTAGCACCGGGAGCACCTCCCAGCGTCTTTGCAGGTCTCAAGGGATCAAGCGGTTGCGGAAGGTCGGTTCAAGGTGCAAAAGCACATCACTTATGATATGAAATAACATATTAAATTTTAACAAAAAATCATACCTATGATATGAAATAACATATTATTGAATAGTATAATTTAAATGTGGCAGTAAAACATGTAGTGGTAATTTTGTAAATATACATTTTGCGGTCAAATATAGACATTTGACAATTAATTAAGGACAAATTGGACAATACAGACTACCACACCATGTCAGTGGGTCGCACCAAACTCAGGCTCTCTCTCTCTCTCTCTCTCACTCTCTCTATCTCTATCTCCTTATCTCGCATCGCACACAATCTCCCGGCCTTTCATTCCTATGTCACCTACGACTTCCTCTCGGCTTCCACTGGAACCGCATCCGCCACCTCTACCTCCTTCCTCTGCCATTGTCGGAGTCCACCACTGATATTGTGCCCCCCGCCGAAAACAACATCACTCCTGCCACAACTAGCCCATCCAACACCATAGCCATTACCACAGAGGTATAATGATTTCCAACCTGACATGGTCACGGTTCTCCCCGACGTCAATAGCCTGCATCTCTGGCAATTTCATCCTCTTCTGGCTGACGTCTGCGACATCAGCGCACGTTATCACCATCGCCATCACACTGATATTTTTCTCCTCTACCACCCTATTTTTCCCTGGATTGAATCTTCATCTAAGTTAAAAATAAAAAAATCAAGCACCAAATCTTAAAAATCCAATTTGAGTAATTAACTTGAAGATGATGTTCGGCTTAAAGTTGCCGTCGTAGGGATCGATCGGTGGCCACATATGAAGAATGCAGAGGCGCGTACAGGGTGAAGGACGGGGCTTATCTGCAAACTGGGGCTGATTTTGAGATTGAGGTTGATTCTTGAGAATTTGATCATTCTTAGGGGCTTATCTGCAAATTAGTAAAAAGCAGTTATATTCCATTTTAATTCATGGATTAAAATTATAATTTATTAAAAATTTGAAAGTGTACAATAGTAATAAGTAAATTGCACAATGTTAATAAGTGAACCAAATCGATTGAATATTTGTTCCAAATTAGAATAAATTGAATCGAAATATTAAAAAATAATATTTATTTACATCGATCGGTTTGGGTATTTTGGGTATTTTTAAAAAATAATCGAATAGAAACAATCAAAAAATTAAAATTAAAAGCAGATAATCGAGTTGGAATATGAAATTGATCAAAAAAATTTAGTTTTGTCGATTTCGGTTGTTGTGCCGTCTGATAGTTATTAATGTCCAATTCATCTAATACTATTGTTCACGATTCAGTGTTTTATTGTGCATTGTGAATCGGTTGTACTTTTGTTCAACCAAATTAAGACTTAACCGAATAACTTGTTTTATTTTTTTAATAAAAATAATTGAAATATAATATTATTGATATTATAAAAGCATATCTATGTTTTTATAGTTTTACTTATATTGTATAATTTATTTATTTTTTTGCTTAAAAATATTATTTCTTAGATGTAATAAAAATAATATGGTTATATAAATCGTTTTGTGGATGTTGGCACGACCGAAGGGAGGATGACGAAGGTCGGGTAGATAGAGGAATGCGCGACGGCGGCGGCGGGTCTGGAGGTCCAGCGTGATTTTGAGTCCGACAGTGCGTGTAGTGTGTGTGTGTGTGTGTGTGTGTGTGTGTGTGTGTGTGTGTTTTAGAGAGCAAGGTTCTCAAAACCGGACTGGTCATCGAACCGGTCGAGCTACTGGTTCAATGGTTCACTGGTCAGACCAATAGCTGGACCGGTTGGACCGTTATTTAATTTATTTATATTTTTAAATATATATATTATTTCATAAATATAGCTAACTTAATTTTTAAGTTATTTAACTTATTAATATTTTAAAATATAAAATATTTTATAAATATTAAATATAATTGACTTATTTTCCAAAAGATTGGTCCGACCATATATAGATTAAGCAATAAAATAATGAGACAAAAATATGAAAAAAGAAATTTTCCTCCCACTCCCAATTAAGTAATAAAATAATAGGACAAAATATTAAAAAAATAACTTTCCTCCTAGACACAGCAATTGGTATTCGTACAACTACTTGTCCCACATAGTTAATTAGCTCAGAATTAGCATGGTAGGGGGTTTAGGTGGAGAATGACTTTTGGTGGAAAGCAGGTTATAAAAGAAAAACCACTTGTCCCACATCGGTAAAATAAATAGTTTAGTTGCTTTATACATTTGGTTACATTAGATAAAAAAAAAAAAAAGCACCTATGGTTGAACCAACCGAGCTTTTGGTCAGTTTTGACTGGTTGAACCAGTCATTGACAGGTTTTGACCAGTTTTGCTGGCAGGTGGTTCGTTACAGCGAACTGAATCGTTGAACTAGCCGGTTCCCGGTTCAACAGGTTGGGCCAGCCGGTCCGGTCCGGTTTTTAAAACAATGCTAGAGAGAATTGATGGTAGGTGGATATGTGGGGCCCAATAATTAAGTGGATTGTTATGGTATGGTGGGTTGTTCACGTGTACAGAGTAGATAGCTGAGTATGGTAGGATGGGTCACACAGGTTGGTAGTGGTTATTGAGTTATTGTCTAAAATACCCTTAATGAAGGTTTATTTTTTACTTTTTTTTAGCTGTTGGATCATCCAATCTGATGGCAACCAAGTATTTTTTTCCATCACCGAACACCATTCTCACTGAAAAATTTTGAACCGTTCCGAATACCGAACCGAAATCACTCCGAACCGAAAAACAATTGTTGACTGCTTGACTTTCTCCGAACCGAACTGAACCAAAAAAAATAATTGGTATGGTTCTGTAGATTTCATAAACATTCGTATCAAGAACCGAACCGAACCAAAGAAACGAAATATAACATTAGTTGTGTTTTACTAATATATTTTATGTCAAAATCGATCCTATAATTTGAGAATTTTATAAAGGCAAATAATATATAGTAATAACTATTAAGCTTTCCAGTTGCCGCTCCCCGAAGCAGCTCCAGGCAAAAC